GACAGCCATGCTTAGGTAGTGAAGGAAACCACTGAAAACAGAAAGCTGGTGAAGATGTAATTGAATAAGGGGATCATGTTCCATCCTCAATAAGCAGCAGAACTTGGCAGCTTCGGTTGCAAGGTTCTGGCTTTTGAGTTAAGGAAGCTGGGTTGCCTTGGAGAATCCGAGATGTTGGAGATGCCAGAGCCATGGGATACCTGCCAAGGAAAGCTGCTAACAGGGAGTGGAACAAGCCCAAGAGAAAGAAGCGTGTTGCAGTCAACAAAACTTAAAGGAATTGGAGACCTGAAGAGCATTTTACCATCAGGCACAGAGATGCAGAGTTTAGAGTTTGCCAAGCTGGTTTTGGGTCTTGCTTCAGTTCAGTATTTCCTTACTATGTTTTCTTCCCTACGCTTTGGAACAGTATATGTATATGTATATGTATATGTATATGTATATGTATATGTATGTGTATGTGTATGTGTATGTGTATGTGTATGTGTATGTGTATATGTATGTGTATATCCTGTGCCATTATATGTTGGAAGTATGTGATCTGTTTTTTTAATTTGATTTTATAGGGGATTACAGTTAAGAGATGGCATGAATCTTAGAAGAGACTTTGAACTTTTAGACATTGTTGAGGCTGTGATAGACTATGGGGACTTTGAGGTTAGACTAAATGCATTTTGCATTATGATATTGTTACAAGCTTACGGAGGGCAGGGAGTGAAATGTGGTAGTTTGAATATAATTGGCTCCCATAAGCTCACAGGGAGTAGCATTATTAGAGGTGTGGCTTTGTTGAAGTAGGTGTGGCCTTGTTGGGGGAAGTGTGCCACTGCGGGGCTAGGCTTTGAGGTCTCATATGCTCAAGTCACACCCAGTGTCTCAGTTCACTTCCTACTGCCTGTGGGATAAAGATGCAGCTCCTTCTCCATTCTCAGCTTCTTCTCTAGCACATGCCTGCTTTCATGCTGCCATGCTTTCGACATGATGAGTATGGACTAAACCTCATAGACTGTAGCCCACCCGATTACATATTGTCCTTTGTAAGAGTTGCCATGGTCATGGTGTCTCTTCACAGCAATAGAAACCCTAACTAAGACAGCCTTCTACTTGTGAATCTCAGTACCCAGTGCTGCTCAGAAGAAAACAGCCACTGTAACAGTGATACCTCCAGACCAAGCAAGCTCTGAAGCAAACTAAAAATGATTAAAGCCAATCAGCACATCAGCAATGGTCATGGAAACAAAATGGCAAAGATAGTGTGTACTGTGAATTTAAATGTTGTTTGAGGAAAATCTAAGAATAGTGAGTGACTGGAATAAAGATCTGGGGGAAGAGGGAAAGAAAGACCAAGGTTATACAAGAGACAGAGGAAACAAAAGGACCAGCACGGAGTGTCACAGGAGGGAGAAGAAAGCAAGAGAGAAGACATCTGATTGGCAAGAAAGAAAAGGCTCAGCAAAATCAGAGGAGTGTGACAAGAGGAATAGAAACTAAAATCTTTAAAAATAAATATAACAAATAGTATAATAATAAATATAATAAATAAGTGGTAAGTAAAAATACTGCTAGGCATATAGTCCTCCACCCCCCAAAAATGTTGGAGCAGCTTTTGTTGGGTCCTCTAAGATTGGAGTCTACCAAGGGAGGGGGAAAGGAGCAGGAATCTCCTGTCTTCTCTGACATTTGGGCCACTGCTGAATTTGGACTGGCCAGGTGTCAGACATCTTCCAGGAAACATTCTTTTTTATACTTACATGGAACTATAGATCACATTATGATCTCAGACTTGTCCAGCTTAATTATTAGCATCTTGAAAGTAGAATAATTAGCAATTTAAGAAACAACTATTATCTCCCCTCCAGATATTATTTATAATCCTCAGAATGTGTTGACCACATCATAAATACTTACGTTTATTAATTATGCATTTTTTGAGATAGGGTCTTGCTATGTAATTCAAGCTTGTCTCAAATCTGTGGTACTCTAGCTTCAGTGTCCCCACAGTTGGCATTACAGGCACAGACATAAACACCTGGCTTTAGTACTCATGAGGTAGGTAAAAAGATATATTAATTTTATACAGATATAGTAGGTACTATACTCAATATCCAAAATAGTTAGATATAGTTTACCCTTTTCAAATCATACTCTGTAGAAGTATTCCATCTATTTGGGGACTATCTTGGCTAGTAAGGAGGAACAGTCTTAAATTTTTAAGTGATAGTCAGTAATTGATATTCATGTTCTGTATAATTAAAACTTAGCCTTCAGATTCCACCAATAAACCAAAGCCTCCAAGCTTTTATCTTCTATTCCTGTTAGAGGCAGTATGTGTAGTTAACTTTCCCAAGACTGTGACCAAGTATCTGACAAGGAGCCACTTGAGGATGGGTCTGTTTAGGAGCACAGTTCAAAGGATGCAGTCCACCCTGGGGAAGGCACAGTGGAGGGCAGCATTGTTGGTGGTGACAAGAATTTGAAGTAGGGCTTGCTCACATCTTCGTAGATGATGAAGCAGAGAGCTTGGTTAAAGTGGAGCTCATCTCTCAGGCTCAGTCTTACCCTTAGCATCCCACATCTACCAGTGAGTCCCCATGGCCGGAAGGTTCTACAGTAACTCAAGACAGCGCCACCAGCTTGAGACCACATTCCACATTGAAGCTCTGTTCTTTCAGAGTTCAACCGCTTGTGAATAATTCCTGTCTCTGCTCTAATGATGTTGGTTCTTAGCATTCTCCATGATTCCTTCCCTTAGTTTCTACTGTTCATCTACTCTATCCCTCAGTCTATGGTGTATTTCTCATTTTCTTTCTATTTTATCATTATCTGATTGATTTAGCCCTTTCTGTTGTGATAAAATGCACATCTAACTTCCCATCTTAGCCACTTAAATTATAGAGCTAGTTGGCAGTAAGTACAGTCTTAGCGCTCTTCAGCTGCCCCTCCCTGCCCTGGCCTCACCCCTGTCCTGTGCTCTTTTATCTCAGACAACTGTGCCCACCAAACAACATTCCCCTCTTTACCCCAGTCTCCTAAATCCCTACCAACCTCGAACATGCAGATACATCAGATTATAATCCTGTAATATTTTCATTTTCCAAATGTATATGCAACTACATATGAGTGTTGTGGTTAGAGATTTGACATGAAAAAAACCCCAATAAATTTGTCAAAGACCAGAGTAGGGATTCTAAAACATTTCAACCTGTGAATTTTTTATGCCCATGAAATGTTCACGTGACCCCATGCATCGTTTATAGAATAGGCATACAAAGCAAATGCTAATCCTATATCACAAGAATAGATATTTAAAACAATAATTCAGTGCATATATAATTTTGCCATTTATGAAAGACAAGAGTAGACTTTCATATGAATAAGAATGTATGTAGTAGTTCTTTTCACATTAAGCTTTCAGTCTTAGCTGAATGCTCAAGACTGGAGGGAGTGGAGATCTTCATGTGTGCTGGAGACTGGAGGGAGTGGAGATCTTCATGGATGCCTGAGACTGGAGGGAGTGGAGATCTTCATGGCTGCTGGAGACTGGAGGGAGTGGAGATCTTCATGGATGCCTGAGACTGGAGGGAGTGGAGATCTTCATGTGTGCTAGAGACTGGAGGGAATAGAGATCTTCATGGATCCAACACTAATTTAATACTTTTACATACTGAGTGAGAGCAGTATGAAACTATGAAAAGCCTTTTTCTTTGTAATTAAACAATAATGTTTCTGTAAGAGCAGAAGCCTTCGTATGCACAGTAAAAACTCCTCCATTTGTTGCATATGCAGTGGTCTCCAATCCTAGTGTTTCAGGCCGGATTCATTGCATTTCATGGTGTCATAGCATGCACAGTGCAGTGTACATGTTATGCTCTCAGAACCAAAGTTACAGTGATGTCCTGTAATAAAACATGGGCAAACACTGTTACAAACACCTTGGACTAATGTGTTTGATTTTTAAATTATTTTTTGGTTGTTGTGCATTCAGAGGTCTTATACTGTTACCTGGTCTGTGTGCATGCATGTGTGTGTGTGTGTGTGTGTGTGTGTGTGTGTATGGTGTGTATGAGAGAGGGGGGAGAGAGAGAGAGAGAGAGAGAGAGAGAGAGAGAGAGAGAGAGAGAGAGAGAGAGAGAGAGAGAGAGAGAGAGCATATTCAGTTCGGTTGTAATCTCCTGTTTACAAAGCTATGGACTGGCGATCACAATTGGAAAATGGACATGCACATAAGGAAGTAGGTAGAAATGACCTGTCAGAATCAAGGCAGGTGTCAGGAACCCACTGACAGGAGCATCGCCACTGCTACATAAACTTTCTTCCTGATGTTGTCTCTGTGTCCTAGCTGAAGTGCAGAGTGTGGGGTAGGCACAGCTGCCCGAGCCTTTGTTGTAGTTGGTAGGAGATCTCCCTTTGGTTCTCTATCTTGACTGGACTCAGAAAGTCACAATGTAAAGGATTTGCCAAAGGTGAAAGGGGGGAATGTGTTGGATTAGAAAGTGTCCCTCTTAATCCTAAATTGAATAGATTCCTTTATGAATATCATTAAAGTCTATTTGTTTTCTTACATTTGGGCATTTCTTCTTTTTTTCTTTCCTTCCTTTTCTCTTTCTCTCTCTCTTCCTCTCTTTCTCTCTTTCTTTCTTTCCTTGATGTTTTGAGACAGGATTAATCTATGTCACCCTAGCTGTCCTGGAACTCACTATGTAAACCAGGCTGGCTTCAATCTCACAGATCCTCCTGCTTCTGCCTTTCAAGTGCTGGAGTTAAAGGTGTGTATCACCACACCTAGATCATTTCTTTTTATTTATTTATTTAAGAGTTTCTTACAATACCTTTTTATCATATTCTTTCTCATACCCAACTCCTCCCCACTGAAGTATATTTCTACAGAACTCTGCATGAAAAGTAGCTGTGCGCCTCTAAAATAAAGAAAAAAAATCTAAAGGCATAGCAATGCCCAGAAAGCATGTAGTTGTTTATGATTTAATAAGAGTCATAGTAGCTTACTAGAGAAACACAAGTTTTATTCTTTTTAAAGAGAGCCAGAGTTAGCCATCCCTGCCATCCACAGCATGACAAAGGAAACATACAAAATACATATTTTTCTCAGAAGCAGAATCACAAAGAATGGATTGATAGGCATGCACAGATTTTCAAAAACAATTTATATTTAAAATGTATCCAGGCTATTGTCACTGATAAAGTAGATAAGAAGAAATGTACAGGAAATACACATCTTAACTCCTCCAGAACACATGGGGGGGTGAACCAGTGTAACTGACTAAGGATACATTAGTGTTCTTCTCAGTCCCTGAGCCTGGAAGTGTCTACAGTGCATCTTTCTGAATGGTAGTCTTGAGGTGAACAAATAAGGGGATAAACGGAAGCATTTTCCCGGATGATTCTGTGCCAGGGGCTATGTAGGGAAAGGGATGTTATCTGTATGAAAACATCCTCCAGGGAGAGTTTTACTACACACTTAGATGCTTTTGAGTCCAGTACTGGGCTGGGCTCCAGTAACAGTATGTCCATTGTAACCACAGAAGGTAATATGAAACGTGCTCACACACAGACACGTGACTTTGAGATAAATATTTTCATGGCCAAGCAGAATAGCTAGGCATATCGAACCTCCTAGAGATTCTGTAACGCAGTAATATATGGGTGCATATTCCAAGACAGAAGGTTGGGCTCGTGTCTCAGAGTTCATGTGTAGTCATCACATCAGACACTCCCTGGTTTCCAGTCCTTTTCTTTTTCTTCCCAGGATTTCACATGTTTTGCTGCCTTAAAGATTTCTTTTCATACATTTCCTGTAATGAGAAAATGAAGAGGTTTTTTTTTTTTTTTTTTTTTTTTTTTTTTGGTTTTTCAAGACAGGGTTTCTCTGTGACTTTGGAGGCTGTCTTGGAACTAGCTCTTGTAGACCAGGCTGGCCTCGAACTCACAGAGATCCGCCTGCCTCTGCCTCCCAAGTGCTGGGATTAAAGGCGTGCGCCACCAACGCCCGGCTTATGAAGAGTTTTATTTACGGGGTGGTTTTGTCGCCTCAGTAATTAAGAGCTGACCCGTAAGAACATGTAACAGGGAAAGGATGCCTCATGCAGAATTTGTCAGGGTTGTAATGAGGTCTTCCTGCAGTTGCCTGTTTTCTGTGTTCCAGAACTCTCATGGATCAAGTCACATTCTGACTTGAAAGTCCAAGAACTTACCCGTATGAGGCGGGCTTGCTTTGAATTGGGGTCCAGACACCTTTGTCTATTTTGTGCTTTCAGGGTAACACTGTTAAGGAAGACACAGAGAAGTCTTAAACTTTAGGGGAAAGTGTCAACAGAACAAAAATGCCTGTGCCACTGTCATCTCCAGAAAGCCCATTACTTACATCACTTCAACTTTGCCACAGCGGTAGCTTGGGTAAAATACGGAGACTGTCTCAATGTCTGCTATCTTGACTGCTTTCGCTAAGGGTCCTATGCAAAGACAGCGTCCCCCTTTGAACATACTGAAGCCTAGAACAGACCATAGAGCTGGTTAGTCATGGCTGTGATTTACAATCCCGGCAGTGGATTGTATTAATCACATTTGTGCTGATTGGAATTAAGCTTGAATCTCCCTATAATATTTCCCTCTGCTTTATGCTAATTTATTATATCATTCATTAATTTTTATTAATTATTTAATTTAGGTTTCAGATAGACTCACTCTTGCTGTTTGACCCAGGCTGGCCTCCAGCTCACTGGAGAGCCCAGGATGACCTTGAACTGGAAGCAGCACACAGCAGCCGGCCCCTCATCTTAGTATTATCCTACCTCAGCTCAGCATCTATAAGTGCTGAGCTTACATTGTGGTGTGTGTGTGCCACCAGCCCAGCGCCTGATTACCTTAAATAACTACACAGCATCCAGGACACCAAGAACAAAGTGGCTATTTTCTTCTGTATTATTCTAGATTATAACTAAGTATCATACATCATGTTACCCTCCTCAACTAAAACTATCTTTCAGACCTCACAAAGATTTGTTATTTTATAAGAGCAGGGAGAGTTCTAAAAATGACTAGGTTGTCTTATAGACTTCATATTGCTTAGCCCAGATCTGCTGTGATAATTACACAGGCACCATCATATCCCAGGAAACACAGTTCTAGGTTCAGCTTATGGGGAAATGTTAATAATGTTTCTATTTGGAGACAATATTCTTTTCCAGGAGGCCTGCAGAGAGTTGTCAGTGCCCATAGTGTCCTTAAAACACTCTTGTCCTCAAGTGAAGTATTGACCAAACACATATGGCATTACTATGACCATTGCCCCAGATAGAATTTCCTTTTTTCTATTCTGAAAATGTTGGTTATGATAAATTAGTGGTATCATGCTTAAAAAGCTAATTTTCCTGGGAAACCAATGTAATCCCATATAAGATTCTCTGAATAGATATTGAGAGCTGACTCTAAAGGCTCTTGCTAGATAATTGTCAGAAAATTAAGAAATCCATAGCATTTATTATCCATAGTTAAAATGATCATTTCATATAAAGATTTCCAACATTTCCTGCCAGTGCTAGAACTTCTAATGTGTGAAATTAAAGAAATTGTGTATTCTAGAGAAAAGACATTTGAGAGATAACAAAATAAACGTATAGGCTCAGAAGCAAAAGGAACCATGTACCTTGAATGGTTGTAGCACAACTGATCACAGCCAAGGCTATGGCCATGCCCTTCAGGTTCATCTCGGTGGCTGCTGCTGCTGCTGCTGCTGGGCTTTGATGCTCTGTGCGGAGAGCAGTGGGCTGGACCGCAAGAGTGTACCAGGAGCATTTTATAGACCAGCAATCCTTGTGCAGAGACAGGAATTTCCCTTCTTGACTCATGTAGCTGTCTTGCTTCCCAGAGTTTCCCTTTTGTCCTCGTGCCAGTTCCTGTGGTGAAGACAGCGACTGGAATGCAAAAGGGTTGAGAACTGGAGTGCTATATGCACAGTAGCTCACCCTATGGGAAGCAGCCGTCTGCAGGTGACTTTTCCTAGAAATGCCTTTGGCCGGTGATTTGGGACAGTGTCATTCCAAGTCCCACAGACTTAGGAAGACCTCTCTGGTGCCAGTCAGCCCGCCCTCCCCCTCACATAACTACACAAAGGGATGTGTACTTTAGGCATGGGTTATTTGCTGACAGGTGACCTTATCTAACTCTACATTATCTCGCTTTCAATTTCATGTCTAAAACACTCTCCCACACCTGTGCACTTGCATCTATCTCTTTTTGAATTTTAGAGCCGTGTGTGTGTGTGTATGTGTGTGTGTGTGTGTGCACACGCGCGCGCGCGCATGCGCACACACATGCTTTTTAGTGCACACGCTTGTATATTTTCTGTTAAGGACTATAAAACAAAGTCATCACCTCTTCATGTCCTTTTAGGTTTTCTGAATCTGTTTTAAATGTGTCACTCATAGAAAGGTAATGAGTACAAGTCCAGGGGACTTTTCTTAAAGAACTTTAGGCTGGGGTTAGTGATGGCACACACCTTTAATCGCAGCATTCGGGAGGTATAGGCTGGCGGATCTCTGTGAATTCAAGACCAGCCTGACCTACGGCGCAAGTTCCATGTTTGCCGATCACTTAGAAGAATGCAGGAGCAACGATCGGTTGAAAAAGGTCCCCCCTCTTCCCTCTGAGGATGACCCAGGTGGTCTGTAGGGCAGCTGCTGTTATCCCGTGGCCGCCTGGGAGTGGAAGAGCTGCGTCCCCCACACGGGTATGGCCGTGTCTGCCTTCCCTCAGAAATCAGTGTCAATGCTGAAGAAGGTTTATTTCAGTCTCCACTTCAGTCTTCAGATAACAGATGTGAAAGTATGGTGGACTGGGAGGGGGCTGCTTGTGTATTGAAACATCCTCACCCAGTTTCCTGCACCTAAGGAAAGCCCAGCCTAAGGGTTGGCAGGTGCCCCCCCTCCACCTTCCCCTCAGTAATCTAGTTTCCTGGAAAGCGCCACAAGCGCCACCCTTTTACAGCAGTTAGTAAAGGTTCCCAAATATATGTCACAGCCCTGGCATTCTTACAGACATTGTAACCAGATTCCTTCTTTTGCACAGGGAATTTTGTGACTTTTGCCTTACACATAGGATTCCATTTTGGCCGGCTCTGCAGATGTGTGGGGTGGGAGAGGTCGGTGGGGTGGCTGGTTCTGACTTGTTCTCACCTGGCAGTCTGTGGCATCACATGAGAAAGGCGTGGTGTCAGCACATCCCCTTACCCACAGATCCCCTGTGCTTGTGATCTGGACTGGGTCCCTTAAGTCGCCATATCTTATCTTCATGATATCTTTTTTTGCCATGGTCTCCTACCATGCAGCCCAGGTTGGTTTAACTTGTGACTGTCCTCTTGCCTCAGCCTTTCAAATGCTGAGACCATAGGCATGTGCTAATACGACTGGGCTCTCACTTGCTCCTTTTTTAAAAGTGACATCTTAATATTCATATTGTGTAATGATTATTTCTTCTAATTTTATAGAACTGACTGCCTTTGCCTAGCCTTATCCAGGAATAATGGGAACTGCATTCATGATTTTAAATCTCTAGTAGCCACATTTAAAAAATAAAAAACGCTGAAAATAATTTAAGCAATATATTTAATGTAATTCAAAACATTAAAGATTATTTTGCTGCCTAATCAGCATTAAGTGAAATTTTATTTATTCTTTATTATTAAGTGTTCAGACCGAGCCAATCCCATGTCAAATGCTCAGGAGTCAGGTGCACTCAGTAACTCTTCACATCAACCAGTAATGACCGCAGGTCAGTCTGATGGGTGCCGCTCTTCAGCTGAGGTCCCTCCTACCGGGCGGGCGACACTAGGTTATGCTAAGTTGACAATGGAAGCTGACCTACTGTGTGATCCATTTCATCTTTTAGTAGTGCTGCCAAATGATTGAGTCCATGTAGACTTTAAAAGGCTGGGCCCGAGGGCCAACCAAGAGGTGGCTAGCTGCCTGGTGCGTCTGTAGGCTCTCTGATTGATCCCTGAAACTCCCAACATGGTTTTCAAATCTGCCTGGTGCGTCTGTAGGCTCTCTGATTGATCCCTGAAACTCCCAACATGGTTTTCAAATTTGCCTGGTGCGTCTGTAGGCTCTCTGATTGATCCCTGAAACTCCCAACATGGTTTTCAAATTTGAAGAGATTAATGCAAGTCACTTAAATGTAAGGTGAACTCTCCATTCCCTAAGTTTCAGAAATGCATACTGACTCCCTGCCCCAACACACACCTAATGTTAATACCAAGGACATTTTCTTCAGTTAGGTCAGTGAAAAGTGGGCTAGAAATGGAAACTATAACATTTCCATTTATTAGAAACCAGCATGATGTAACAGATCCTGTTTTAGGTTTATAGAAGACGGTTGACTCACTGCTCGGGGAGAGAGTGACACAGTCTAAAATAACATGCCTAGACCAAGCACAGTGGTGCCCAAACCCAGCTCCTTAAACCCCTGCTGCCCGCTATCAAACAATTCAGTCACTTTCGGGAGCTGCGAGTCAGCTCTTAAACTGTTAGGACAATGACAAGATGATTGCCTGATGACATTAAAATACTGACCCAGAAGTCAGGAAAAACCCTGCACGCTGTGTTCAAAGAGTCTGCCAGACCCCGAGTGAGCACAGTGAAGGAAACAGAAACTAGACATGAATCGTGTAAACACAGAAGTCCTCTAAAAGCGCTGAGAAAATTGTGCATTTTGTTGTTGCCGAAAAGAGCCCCAGAGAGAGGATGGATCTTGAACAAAACTATTTCTGAGTGTAAGCTTAATCGTCTGGTAACTCAACACAAGAAAACGTTTTCAAAAGTGCATTCTGCCTGTGCCATCTGGTGTCTGGAGCAGAACTGCCAGGGCTCGTGTTTCATAGCAGCGCTTGGTGTTTGGTGTGAGCTGTCCCAGGTGTCACAGATTGAGTATATGCTCCGAATAAGGGGCAGTTTCGGGGGCCACCACTGTCTGACCGGTCTCCCCATGCCTGAGAGAGCCACCGTGAGTCCTCTCTCCTGCCTTGTCAGAAAGGATGGAAACAAAACTATGGGTCACGCGAGCCACGCTCAAGTCTGCTGGGCTTGGGTGCTCATGGGAGGCGCTTCAGTGTCTGAAAGGTGGAGGAGAAACAGCCTCTGACTTCGAGCAATCCAAGGTTTTCAAAGCTGTTTGTGTGTCTGCATGTTCACATGTGAGTGGGCGCATGTATGTGTGCATATGGAGGTCTGACTGTCTCCCAGGATTGCTCCATTTTATGGATTGAGGCAGGGTCTCTTGCTGATTCCAGAGCTTGCCAATCAATTCTGGCTAATCAGCCACAGGGGTGTCTGCCTCCCGAATGCTGGGACTGTGGGGGCACTGTCGTGCCTGCCTGGACTTTACGTGTGCTCTGGGTATGTGAACTCCAGTCCTCCCACTTGCCAGGGAAATGTTTGGTCCCCTAAGCCAAGCCCCAGCCCCTGACAAGCAGTTCACGAGCATTGGATCTACCGCACCATTTGTGCTGGTCTGGTGCCTGCTGTCTCTAGCTTGTTCCCACCCTTAGCCGACTCTTATTGGCTGGGCTAAATTTACTGTGTGTTTTCCTCTGTTAAGCTGTAGGCAAGGCGTTCATTAGGCTCTCCGCTTTCATTCCTTTTGGCAACTGAGTTTGAGCTGCAAAGAGTTTGGACTGTTTCCCTTCTGAATATTTTTCTACCCTTTTAGAAGAAAAATTACCAGATATAATAATAGTTATTATTTGTTTTTTCTTTTCTAGCCTGGGAAAGCACAGTACCTCCACATTGCTTTATCTATAACCAGTCTCGCTTGTCTTGGGATGTCACTTTTTATGAAATCCACTGCCAAGCTAATTATATCAGTACATAATTAACACACGCCTAAGCTGTTCACTTGTTTTTTATTTTTATGTACATTAATGTTTTGCTGGCATATATGCATGTATGACAGTGTCGGATTTCCCTGAAACTGGAGTTACAGATAGTTGTGAGCTGCCATGCAGGTGCTGGGAATTGAACTTGGGACCTCTGGAAGAGCAGCCAGGGCTCTTAACTGCTGAGCCATCTCTCCAGCCCCACTTATTTTATTTTTAAGTAATTCTGAAGAAAAGAACATGAGTCTGGAAACTAATTAATATGGAATTTAGGTAAGTTCAAAAGAATTGTATGCCAAAACTGAGAACACAGAGCTGGGGTGATGGCTCAATGGTTAAGAGCCCTAGCTGTCCTTGCTGAGGCCTCGGGTCCGATTCCCAGTACCCCCTTGGTGGCTCACAACAATCTCTAACTCCAGTCCTAGGGTATCCAATACCCTCTTCTGGTCTCTGAGGGCACCAGGCACATAGATGGTGCATAGACTTACATACATGCAGGCAAAACACCCATGCAAATAAAATGAAGCAAAAATAACAGTCACAAACACAGGGAGTGTTGGAATTCGGTAACCTCACTGACTAGACTGTGAGTGATCGCTCTTCCGTGTCCTCTACACTCCTCCCAGGGAGTTTGCTGTCATTTGCATGTATTTGAGCCAGGAACAGTGTAGAGCACAAAACAACTTCAGTGTCACCATGAGCTTCAGAGAGAGCATTTTCCTCCCAACAAAGGCAGCTCTATGCATGGCCTACAGTTGGCCACCCAGAACAGAACATGACTGCCAGGGCAATGTCGATGTTCATGTTAATTTTCCAAGTTGGGAAACAGCATGGCTATTGTTAAGGAATAGAAACGCGTGAGAGAGTAGCAACGAGCAGCATTACAAACAACTCGTGGGTTCAGTTAGCAGGGTGCACTTGAGCAGCA